AAAACTTACAAATGATATTTGCTGGTACATAGATGGTGTATATGATCCCTCGTTGAGTTCACTGGAAATCTCATGGAAAACAGTTGGTCCATTGGTGGCAGTCAAGTACTGTTTTGTAGTGTTTCTTGGTAATGCTGACACGGAAACTGGGTTCTCACTCCATTCTTAAAACTTTAGCAATTACAAACTTACGGAAAAAAACAAGAACTACCGTATTTTTTTGAAATTAGAACGGTGAAAATGTNAACAGNGACCCCTGGCTCCGGCCACTTTTCCCCGGGATTTGCGGGGTCTCGGTTCCAAAATGCACTGGCAGAAATCACGCCCCAGTGAACGTGAGATGTTGGAAAATGTTCTAGTACTTTTTGATTTTTAAATATTGGGAAGAAATGTATTTGAAATGTTCATGAGCTCTTTTGAAATGATAAACAGTGAATCCGTGGCATCGAAAAAATTTTCCAAACTAGGTTTTTGTAAAACCTGTGAAACCAAAGCCCTATTTTTGGTTTCGTAGCTTATTGGCGGTATTCAGGAAAAAAATATTTCACTAAAAAAACACGGAAAATCGTAATTTTTTCAGGATCACGGAGAGCATCGAAGTGAGGAGATAGCATTCCAGGCGGCCTACATGACAACCCCTGAAAACCGTATAAAACTATTTTACGATTCCGAACGTCCGACGGATTCCTCAGCTGGGCCATTTCAGTCGAACAGATTTGGTGCTGTGTTTTTGATACCTGGTCTACAATAAAACGATTTTGAATTTGAAATGATTTTATTTTTCTAGTTTATCTTCTTCTTCAAAATAATCCAATATTGTACAACATAACACACATGAGTAGTAGATAAAAGTAAAAGTAGATAATAAGAGAATCATAAATGAGAGTATAAAACTCGGCCAAATAATGAAATCAGAGCAGTCGCTTTCTTGAGAAACTACGGAGCAACTCCAGAGAAAACCGACGATTGATCTAAAAGAATGAATGATGAGGGTTATGTTAGAACTTTTAAAAAAGTACTTACAATCCGAAAATCGAAAGTCTGACTGATATTCGTAAAATGATCAGGAAAGCTGGACGATATCCATTTGCACCTTCAGATGGACATTTGGAATTATTCCGATGGTTCAGGAAATTTCTGTAACCAATAAAGGCACAGGCAATTATCTCAAAAAGAAGACAAGATCCGATAATAACCATCCAAAACGGAAGCTTTGGTTCTGCTCGGCACGATTTCATGACTCCAGCATTTACAAAATATACAGACAGGGGAGATAGAAGAAGGAGAAGGAACATGGTTAGATCTGGAACGTTTTGAACTAAAAATTTTGAAAAATCTACAACTCACAGAACTTGATTTTCACATCATCTCCATCAGTGTTTGCTGCCTCCGAACTTACATCCTCCTCGGTAGTTTTGAGTTTAGGATCGGCAATTGCACAGGTTTTAACCCAGAAATACATTTTGTCTGAGGTACAACTTGTACTACTGCATTCAGTATACAAGATGACGAAAGAAATAAAAATATTGACCAAACGCTGTGATCAGGTGATAAGAGAGTTTTGAATATGGAGGGCGGAAACGAAAACAGAAAGGTTATGGAATGCTGTGTTATTTTTAAGAATGTTCAGTCTATGTATATGTTCGAAAGTGCTTTATCTTATCAATTGAGTCATGGGAAAGAGGAAGTCACATGGTCGAAAAATAAGGAAGCAAATTTGAAAACGATTTAGTTAATCAATCTTTGAAAATTGATGATGATCAAGAGATGATATCAAATTGTGTAACAGATTGTGTTCTTTCATAAAATTGCCCGTATAGTTAGGCAAATTGAAGAACCGGTTCTCGGGTTTGTGAAATTAGAAAACAATGTGGTTGTGTCAGGAGTTTGATATCTGTCACAAATGAGGAATAAATTCGAGTGAAGTTCAAAGAGAATCAGACACATAGCGAAGTACTATAAAATTTAGGGATACGATGTCCCATAATATGTTGAAACAACAACAATCCGTCTGATGATACCATTAAATACATAGAAGAGCAGGGCTTTACAGAAGACCGTACAATAGGGGGTCTGCTATCAGCGTGAACAGAAAGTTTCTTCCTTTTTGGGAGGGTTGTTTTTTGAGGCTCGATTTCTGGTTTTCTAAATGGTGTACCAGACCAAATTGTATTTTGTTAGAGAGCTGTGTTTAGTGACTATTAGGTCGTACGTTTGTTAATTTTTATCTTACTTCGTGTTGAAGAAACGACTATTCTTTTGGTTCTTATCCGACTGCACATAAGCAACATGATTACGTTTTCATTTTTATTTGGTATTCAGACTTATGGTATTCGCAAGAAATTTGTGAATGCATATAAGATACATGCTCCGTCATCGCCTACAATTTAAGTTTGGTTCAAAAAATTCCGCCTGGGGGAGTTCCGTTTGAAAAATGCCAACGGCCCAGTGAGTTGGTTCTCGAGCAATTGCTAAAAGCCGTGAAGGCGGATTCATTTCAAACTACTTGTGAGATGTCTAAGGCCTTGTCTAAGGCCTTGTCTTTTAGTCAACCAAGTATTTTAAACGGATTGAAGTTCCTTGGCAACTTCAAAAACTGGGTCGACTCGTACCCCATGTTTTGTAGTGCTACCACAAGCATCGAAGTGTAAACATAAGCATGTTTCTCCTATTATTTCTGTTCAGTTGGCTGAGGATCTTTTTACCGTAATTGAGAAGAGTGTAAGTTACTATATCAACGAGTGGAATGGTCAGTTGATTGACAAAGAAGAGAAAGCTGTCCCGGAACCTAAATTTCCTGTACAAATGGAGATGCTACAGTGGCGAACGTTAGTGAGTGTCCTGCTCTACAATATACATACAAAACGTTGTATTTTGGGAACAAAATTTTCTCATAATTTTTTCATTTTTATTGTACCGAAGACAAGCTATGTATTATGAAAAAATGTTGTTCCCAAAATACAACGTTTTGTATGTATATTGTAGAAAAATTTAAGGCACATATTCTCTCAGAATTTGAGCAAATTTGGATAATTTTGAGCCGAGTTATAGCCAAACTCCTGAATAATATTTTTTCCTGTGTATATTTGATCTACACCAAACATTTTTTCATTACAAAGCCAATCTTTAAAAAAATTCTGACGGAAATTTTTTTTCTTCACGAGTCATCTTCACGTCTGTGAAGATTCAGAAAACACAAAAATTGATTGAATTTCAAAAAACTAAAACAATGTTTTGAGCTACATTTAACGAGAAAGTTTTCAATGATTGGACAAGTTTGAGCAAAGTTATGAACAAAAGTATAGACACTCACTAACGTTCGCCACTGTATGTGTTTGATGGTCTATCGAAGGAATGGATACTGGGAATTTTTAAATGAACGTACCACTATAACACTTCATTCTTCTAGTAGGAACCAAGAAAAATCAGGTCAAACTTGACAGTGTGAGGGGGCTTCTATTACAGTTTATACGGTGTATCACAGGTAAAATGCGAACGGATCCGTTACGGACACTAAACCACGTGATATGCAGAAGGAAAATCATCAACCATTTTCTGAAACTTCTCATAGAAAATTTCCAGAAATTGACAATGGAAGAAGCCACGGACCGACTAGACCAGGAAATTCTTTTCCCATTTGATCAATACCAATTGGAATGGAACTTTGATTATTATCTGAGATGTCACAATCCAAATGATGAAAATGATCAATTGAAATTGGAATGGATCGCAGTCAATATTTTGAATATCACGAAAAATCTATTCTGGATGCTTTATAACAATGAGC